ACACACACACACTCACACACACACACACACACACACACACACACACACACACACACACACACACGCACACACACACACACACACATCGTCTCCAGCCCAGAATGGCGCCGCCCTGGTGGCAGCAGCTCACAGCTACACGTTCTGGCTTTTTTCTCCTCTTCTGAATCTCTGAGGAGTTTTTTCTGGAGGAGGCAGACTTCTTAAAGCTGTTTCTGGGCCGTGATGGTGGACGGTTGCTCTGTAAAGCTGCTGGAGACAGGAGAGATGTGGACACGCTAACGGAGCCGCTAACTGAAAATCATTGAAAAATTAGCTTTTTAGGTCTTTAGATGAAGAAAAATCACTGAAAAGTCTGATTTTTAGGTCTTTAGATGAAGGAAATCATTGAAAGATCAGCTTTTTGGGTCTTTAGATGAAGGACATCATTGAAATATCTGATTTTTAGGTCTTTAGATGAAGGAAAATAATTGAAAAACAGCTTTTTAGGTCTTTAGATGAAGGAAAATCAATGGGAAATCAATTTTTTTAGGTCTTTAGATGAAGGAAAATCACTGAAAAGTCTGATTTTTAGGTCTTTAGATGAAGGAAATCACTCAAAAGTCTGATTATTAGGTCTTTAAATGAATCAAATCATTGAAATTTCTGATTTTGAGGTCTTTAGATGAAGGAAAATCATTGTTGTGTTCAAAGAGCTCAGAAATCTCAGCTTTTCCTGCTTTGTCCCTGTTTAAATCTAAAGGAAAATGCTTTTAGACATTTTACACAACTCATGTTCTGATTGTGGAAGTAAAATGTTGTAAATAAGTCATTTGGACCCTCAGAACCAAACAGCAAAAACATGTAAATAAACCCATTAACAGACATTTCAAATCTAAAGATAAACCCACTGAGCCTCTATGGAGAAAAACTACCTGAACCAGGACAGAGTCTGGTTCTGAAACTGATCAGAGATCTGGACCAGAGCAGAAACCAGACAGAAGCCTTTTACTCTCAGGAGGTTAATAATGATAAGTGAGTTTTCCCTGGAGGTGGCAGCAGGATTCGGGTCGGGTCGGGTTGGTGGATTTAGTGCCGGCTGCTTCCTGGGCGGGTTATTTAGCACCGGGTGAGAAACGAC